AAATTATTATTTTGTCATATCTTACCCTGTCCGACATCTCCCTTTACCCACTTTTCTGTTGTCCGTCCCCCAGGGAGGAGGTCACATGTAGATCCTTGTCATCGGTTCCCGCTTTCCAACCCACTCTCCCTCTACCCTCCCAGGATCGCCACTCACACCACTGGTCCTGAAGGGATCATGCGCCCTGGATTCCCTGTGCTTCCAGTTCCTATCTGTACCCGTGTACCTCCTCTGGTCTAGCCAGACTTGCAAGGCAGAATTCGGATCATGATAGTGGGGGTGGGGAGGAAGCATTTAGGAACTAGAGGAAAGTTGCATTTTTCATCATTGCTACGTTGCACCCTGACTGGCTCGTCTCCTCTCCGAGACCCCTCTGCAAGGGGATCTCCAGTGGCATGGCCTTACTCTTAAAGCACTTTTTACAGCACTTGTTACAGAACCTTCTGTGCCTCACAATAACAACCACAGAATAGAGTGGTAACTTGGGCGAGATTCTCAAAGAAAGGCCCTGAGGGCCATGAGGTAAAAACTATTTTAAAAACATTGTTAAAAATGTCATTTGCCTTTTTCACTCTTATCACTCATATTTCACAGTGGAGTTTCCCAGGGGCCAAATGATAGGCTACTCTTTTCACTAATTTTTAAAGGGGATAGTTATTATATGTTGTTCATGTTAATATGCTATAGATTTACTATTAGTTTTTTAAATTGATAAGTATTTTAACATTTTCTTGGTTTTTATTTCTAACAAATATAAACCACATAAAGAAAAATTTGTTGGGATTGTCGACACATTTTTAAGAGTTGAAATGGGTGCTGAGACCAAAATGAGAATTACAGTATATTAAACACTTGATAAAAAAATTCCTTTTTAAATCCATGGTATTTTAAGTAGCATGCCACTTTCCCCTTATTGATGAATAAACTGAGCTCAGAAGAAGTCAAATAGCCAGGGTATGTGATAACAAATCCTGCCTCCATAAACTACAGGCTCAACTTCTGTTATTTCATTTCAAAACAGGCATTTTTAAGGATCTTAGTGCCACTTCTCTTAATCCAGGAGAGTTGCAGATTTTAAATTTCAGCTGGAACACCAACTCTGAAAGACTCCCTGAAGGAATTCTCTGAGGACCAGTTGAAAAGGACCCTAAGTATACACCTGGGCTCAGCAGGAAAGGGAGTTAAGCCTTGGGTGACATTCAGCATACCACAACCCTTCCCTAAAGTTTCCCAAATGTCCCTTAGGGGATTTTGGTGCCCCTGAACTGCCTTTATAGCAAAGAGGCCTTCATGACTCTAAATTATATCCAGAAGAACATAATCTTGGCCCCTGCCCTTTATATAGTTCAAGGGAAAATATGACAAACACATGAACAGGACAGAAAAGTATGCTGAATAAAACCATGAGCCAGAATTTGATGGGACTGCCTTGTTTTTCTGGATCCCCCAAGTTTTCCATCTTGACAGGGTAGTCAAAATAATTCTCTATTGGTGGAACTAGTTGAATTTTCCTCATCTGACAGGGTTTTGACTTACCCATGTTCTAGCTTTCAAAGATTTAATGCACTAAATCATCATAAAATAGGCAAATTTCACCCTCATAGAAAATGTACACATTCCTGAAAAAGCATTAGCAATATTCCGATAAAGACAAAGTGAAGTATCCATGGAACATTCCCTGCCCAGATTTGGTAGAATAAAAGGAAGTCGCTGATGAATTCACATATAAACATAACTAGGTATGAGTTCATGAGAATGGTAATATGAATTACAGAAGTGAGTCTAGCTTTTTTAAATGCCAAATATGGAATTTTGCCCAGGATAGCCCAATCCCTCCAAAGAAGGGTGGAGCTTTTTAATGTGAGCTACTCTTAATATCATATACCCTACTATTTAGGGTCACTGAAATTGTTTAAATTACTCACCTAGACTATCACCCTCCCTGTATTCTGATACTCAAAGAGTCTCCAATGTATGGGATGGTTTAACACTGGGATGAAAGTCAGGGTGGCTAAATCTAACTTCAAGTTGAAAAATGGAGACATAATTTTCAAGAATTAATCATTTCATGAGGTGTGCCTAGAAATCAGACTTGTGACACCCATGTACCTGGCTGAGTGTAAGTTTATGCAACGGCAAGATAATGCTGGTGTTACTGTGAAATTACAGAGCAAATGATATTAAATATTTTGTTATAGCACTACAGACCTGTGATACTGAGGGAGTCTCTAAGAAAGGAGCGGTGCTCAAACGACAGGCAGGATCAAGTACAAAGCACCGTGATGTTTTGGTTGGGTGGACTTTATCAAGAGAAAGAAAGACCGAGGAAGGGGGGTATACCAGCAGCTGTTTTACTGATGGCTTTGGGAATAGAAACTAGACAAGTAAAAAAAACAAAACCCTAATGTCTGCATGGCGTCTCCTCAGCTCTCCGTTTTGTCTTAAAAATGGAAAGGAGATGCAATACACTGAGGGAGACTACACCTTGATTTTTAAAAATTACTTTCTTGTCCAAGATTTTTTTATGAATTACTATATGATTAGCACAGTAATTAGTCTTACAGTAATTATTAAATATGCAGGAGACAGGAAGAAAAATATCCTAAATGATAAAGTTGTCCTTAATTTATCCCCCCAAAACCATTTACAATTAGACATCAGATTGCATTTCAGAATTCATATTCTTCTTTTTAAAAAGTGAAAGAAAGATGAAGCTTTCTGCTCCCATAAATATCTACAGCTTTGGAAATCCAATGGGGGGCAGTTATTTATTTTGGGGGGTTCTTATGAGCCAGATTCTCACTTGATGGCAGTAAGGGGTTTTTTTTGAGAAATAAATTCAAATTCAAATATTTTTCATTAAAATGAGTAATGGAAAATAGTAAGACTATATGTGTCAAAGGCAGAAAATTTAAGAGCCAGGGTGGTGGTGGTGGTGGTGGTGGTGGTGGTGGTGGTGGTGACGACGACGGTGACAATCTCATTAAGTTTAGGCCTTCACAGGTTTCACGGTATTGATAATCTTTGTGTACTGAAGAGTTTGAGAAATAATAACAATTCAATCACAATAAGCACCCAAACTGTAGTTTTCTATAATCTCTCTTTCCACTGCAATCAGTCAAGGTTCCTCGAAGGTTTGCCTAATTCCAGGTCTGAAAGAGGAAATACACAAATTGAGCCTTGAACATCCTGTCCTTTTAGAAAGCAAAGATGCCCTGAGAGATTAATGAGTACTACAGTTGATTCTAGGATACTGTTCTAAGGATAAATGACCATAAAAGTAAATGTTTCCAAAATTGCTATTTCATACCGTATACAATTCATTTCTTAGCAGAGTTTAAAATTATCAGTACGTATGTACAAATCATAGGGACCTTTCTCTAGGAGTGGTGCTGTGCAACAGAACTTTCAGTGAAGATGGAAATGTTATCTTCACTGTCCTAGGTGGTAGCTATTGCCCACATGAAGTAATTGAGCACTTAAAATGTACCTAGTGTGAATGTGGAATGGGATTTTAATTTTTATATAAATAGTCAACGTGGCTAGTGGCTACTGCATTGGACAGTGTAACTCTGGAATACATACATTAAATAGGAGACAGAGATATACGAGGGGGTAACCCCCCAAAAAACAAAACAAAACAAGAAAACAGATAAAGCTCTGCTGATGTGAGGGGGATAGTGCATTTGGAATTCATTCCATCATGTCAGACTGTTTATCAAACTTTCTATTTAGAGGTTCTGAAAAGATTACGTAACAGCGTATGACAAAAAATGCCTGGATTTGTGGCAGACAGGTTCTGCCACCACGACAATACACCTGCTCATGCAGCCATCTCAGTGCTCCAGTTTTTGGCAACAACCAGCATGCCTCTCTCGCCCCATGCACCTTACTCACCTGACCGCACTCTGTACAACTTCTTTTTGTTTCCGACAATGAAGAGGGGCATGAAAGGACAGCTATTTGATGGTGAAGAAAAAAAACGTGGAAGGTGCTGTCAGCCATCCAAACAGATGAGTTTGAAAAATGTTTCCAAGAATTTGGAATCAAATATTTGACAAATGTATGAAGTGTAATGAAGAGTACTTTGAAGGTAATAAGGTTGTTTCATTAAAAATTTTTTTTAATTGTTTTTTTTTGGGTACCCCTCATATATATTCTGAGACCTGCCTATGTTACTAGTGATGTGATCATGAACAAGTCACTGAACTTCTCTCAAGCTCAATGTCCTCAGATGTAAAATAAATATGTAGATGCTTATCTCTTATAATTATAAAAATTAACATCATATCAGAAAATTACCTGTTAGACCATTACTGCTTCCTCTATTACAAACATTCACTGGTGAGAATTATAATACGTGACTGCTAGACAGATAATCCACACAAGGTTCTCATAAGTCCTCAAAGAGTCTATAATGTGAAACTAAAAACAAATAATACTGTATACACTTGTGTATAAGCCGAGGTTTTCAGCACATTTTTAATGGAGTTTTTGTGGGAAAATTAGGTGCCTCAGCTGATATTTGGGTCGGCTTATACTTGAGTATATACGGTATATTCATAGTTCTTGCTCTCTTATGGTTTTTAAACATCTCATTTATCCTTTAAATAGATAATTGGCACTGTTAATTATAGCTATTTGGGTTTAGTATATATCTGATTCTCCCCTTACATTGTGAGTTCTTGGGAGTAAATCTTTTGTTTAAATCTATATTTGAGTTATAAAACATGATTACTTTTAATTTTTGTTTGCATCTTATGCAATTTCCCATTATGAGGACTTGAAGAGAGATTATCTCCTCCCACATTCCGAAGACGCTCAAAGTTCACTGTGCATTCAAAACTGTTCCATTTCATTTTTATTTTTCCTCCTTACTGAAACTTTTGAATATGCAAACAGACTAAAAGGTAACATTTCTGACTCTTTTAATAGTTCTGCACATTTAAATTGCAATGAATCTTTCTTGATAGTATCTGAGTCAAAAGTCTTTTAGGTACTGACATAAAAACTCAGTCCTAGTGACATCATTTGAAAATTTGCCCTTTTTAGCAATATGACAAATATGCAATGTTTTAAATTATTTAAAAATATTACATGCCAAATGATTTCATGATTATTAAGCACTGCCATCGTTAATAGACAAGGACAATGCTCTTTTTCCTTTGCACTGAAGAGTTACATTCTACCATTGGGAATCTTTACTTTCTTCCTTGAAATGCCAGAAATTCTTCAATAAAATAAACACATCTATGTCAAGACTCTGTGGAACAAGTATAATTACCAGAGACAATCCCTGTGTAAGATCAAAGATGCTAAACAATAATAGGCAATGTGTGACCTCTACCATGTCACCAGAGACCGATTTTTCAACAGAGGAAGGTCAATAATCCAGAACAGAAAACATTAAATAACGAGAAATGCTTCCAAAGTGTGGCTCATCACATCCATCAAGCCTGCCATGCTTAGAGTTCAGAGTCTCTATGGCTTCAAAGAACAAACTTATAGGGATTTATCATCACAATCATTAAAATCTGCATCAAACACTAGAAGCTAAAACCAATTTCCCAAATGTAGAATGGAATTTCAAGAGATATTAAAATACTTTCTCCCAAATTTCATCTGATGCTTTAGATAGTACACTGAAAGGACAGAATAATTATAGCTTTGTTTGTTTTTTAGTAACATTCACCTCATATCCCTTATTTCTCTATCCTCATTTAATTTTTCTATGGCGTTATTTGGAAAGTGGGCTATGGACATTAACTAGATAAACATAATTTTCAGTAATGTTGGGTTGTCAAAATCCCAAAGCTGGGATTTGTTCTCCTTTGGGATTTATCTGGATGACTAATGGGAAGTATAACGGTGCAAAAACTGATAAACTCCCACTTTCACAATAATCACAGTAAAATAAAAGTACACTTAAAATAGATATTTAAAAGGCATCCCAAATCAAATAGTGCCTTAGAAGTGTCAAAATTGTATGGCTTCTCTTAGATACTAGTGCCAAAGAGTTGCCTTTTCAAAAGCAAATGCCAGCTAAGCATGTGGCACTGAACAAACGTGTCTGAAGTATGTCGTTTGAGGAACATACATTCTACAGGCAATTTGGAGGGGAATAAATGAGGAAGGCATAGCTTCAAGGAACAAGGTTTGGGGATATTCAAAGCAATGTCGTCTCTCCTATGGATGGGTCACCCCTGATGTCTTCTTCCTTCCACTCTGTCATCTACCCCTGTCTTACCACCTTCTTATCTTACCAACATTGCTAATTGTATCGGTCAGTTTTGCCAAAATTTCAATGCTACTTAAACAGCTGTGGATTTTCTCTAGGTAATTATCAGTTACTACACTTAGGGCTCTAAATTAGTTGTTGACAGATACTTTAACCTTGAGAAAATAGAAAAGTGATCACGGCATGTACATGGTCCTTTAAAATTAGTCATTAGGAGAAAGGGTCTTAAAAATGACACACAGAAGCAAGTTATAAAGATTTCAAATATATAAATCATTAAAAAGTGCTTAATAAAGCCTATGGTACACTCATAATGTTTTCTTTTCCCCCTATATATAGCTGTTATAGTGCATGCTCTATATATGCATGCTTTCTCTATATATGAATGTTTAATAAGTCAAGAGTATTAAAATACTGCCAAAGTCTTCTAACAATCCTCTCTCACTACCTATCAACCAGGTGGCCAACACCTTTCATAGGCATCTATAATCATAGAAATGACATTGGGGTGGTGAACTGTGTAGCAGAGACCTTTACCAGATTGTTTTTCCCTTTCCCATTTCCCTTCAAAGGGAAAATTCATTATATTGCTATTCTTATATTCAGTTCTCGACTCTGTGTGATTTTCTACTGCACAAAACATACATCAAACACATTTAGGGAGAGACAGGAGATTTTATCACAATTCATCAACTGATATCTCCTTCTATTAAACACAAGTAAATTAAAACAAAACGAAAACAAACTTCTGCGCTCTAGAAACATGTCACTTATGAGCCATTTATTTCCTATATACATTTTTAAAAAAATTTCAGAGGTCTCAGGGTGAACAAATTGTGGTGTTTGGTGGGATGGGGAACCTTTGGCAGTAATATTCTGTTTGGGGTTGGGCTTGTAAAATAATTTTAAAATTGATGTAATCCCTGCCATACTTTCTGCCCTGAAGGGAAGGCACCGTGATGTTTCAACAGGGCAGAATTTTTACTGAGAGAGAAGTATTAAAATGACCAGCATTTTGGAAAGCAAAGTACATTTCAAACTCTGTTCTATCAACCTATATTGACATTTATAGTAGTTGCCAACATTTGGTAAGGATTATCATTCCCTTAGACAAAGACAAGCATTCCTTAGATTAATCAGGAGTTTTTGCCATGAGACTCATAAAACCTTTTCACAACACAGATTTTCAAGAGAATCCTTTAAGGTTTTAGGAGGCTGCTCCTTTTACTAAGTAACAAAATACACCCCATGGTGTCTCACTGACCCCACTCAGCTGTCCTTTGACCTCTTCAATTGTTGAAGCCTAACTCCAGGGCCCTCAGAATTTGCCTCCCATATCAAAAAGGCTAATGTTGCTTCCTCCTAGCACCTGGTGAAACAAAATGAAACCATTCTCTCTTCTGTCTCCTCCACTCCTGACTACTTTCCAGATGTTCCAGACTCAAATGATAAGCCAATACTGGGTTTCAGTATCTACGTGGTCACTAAGAGGAACAAACAGGGACCATGCTGAAGTGGCAATGACCCTCTTGTTCTTTTTGGCCTCAAAAGGATACGACAGGTCATAAAAGAGGAAAAGATCTTTGGCCTCCCTCAGAAAGGCCAGGCCATTTAAGCACGTTGTAACTTCCAAAAGGAGAGGGAACCTCTTGAGTTATGCTCCTTCTGATAAATGAGTCACTTAAAACAGGAATCCTAAATTCTCAATTCTAAGCAAGTACTTGGTTTTCTTTGACAGAAGAGATTGAGAGAACTACTTTTTCTTTCTCTACATTATAAGTCATATGAAAAATAGAAAGGAAAAAAATCAGCACCACAAAACAAATTCTGTAAAAGAATGTTATAGCACACATCTCAGGGTAGTGTTATGTGATAACAATTTAGCATCTATCCTGTCACTAGATAGGCTTTGTTTTTTATGCTGATGTCAATAATCTAGAAGACTCCAGTTAGGCAATTCGAAAGATAAAACCACAAGCAACAAAGGAATCAAAATCTGAATTCTTCAGAGACGGTTTTAAGAATAAGAAAGGTAATTGCCAGATACAGGTTTTATGTGTCAGTGAGAGAGACAAGGAGAGTGAGTGCACACTCACGTGTGATGATAGGATGGGGGAGAGAAGAATATAGGGAAGTGAAGGACAGGGAAGGGAATGAATTCATGAAAGATACTGCTTAAGGGTCAAATATACTAGCTTTATTTGAAACCTAAATGAAACTTCCTAAAACAAACTTGATCAAGGAAAAAGTTGGGAGGGAGACATATTGTAATTGTACAATACCTTGGCTTACTTATTAACATTTTTTAATCACATTCATGATTAAGTTGGGTAGTCAACACTTCAGGGAACCTGTTGCCTGGATTTTAACTTGTTGAAATCTTTTTTGCACCTGCAAAAACACAAAGAAATAAACAATATTTAAACACATGGGTTAATTTCAAAAGCATTCTATTTTACAATAATATACATATTTATAATTCTATAACATTTATAGTTAAAAATGAATTGTTCAAAAAAACAAACTGTTCAAATCATACATCAAAAGGGGCAAACAATGATATTCCTACTTTCTTAATACCCCAAAAGAATTACTAATTAAATATATCTATATATAATTTCTGTTGTTTGGAAGAGTCTACCCACTAAATAGATGTTGAGTAAGTCTATTAAGTCTGCAGATGTTATTATATAGTTTATCTTTTTTTAATCTTTAAGAATTAAATTAGTGTAATTTCCTTATTGTAAAAATCTTAGAATTTTATAATCCTGAATAGCATATCAAAATTTATCTTCTCAAAGCAATATAAAAATTTTTAAATATATCAAATATTGAATGAAATTATTTTATATGTTTTGAAATTGATGCTTTAAAATTTTCCGAGAAGAAAAAGAATTGTTCCAAAAGCATTATATTTCTAGAATAAACTAAGTAATTACATAGTTATGTAGAATTGGATGAAAATTACAGAATTTATATTATTATCTTCTCTAAGTCATGGTCAATACAAACTATTGCATAGAAATATAGAAGTATAAAATTTTAAATATTGTTATTGATTTTTATACTGTTAGATGTATTTCCCTTTGCTATTATGTCTAAAACAAAGAAGTGAAAGGTTATTCCTAAGAATGTACTAATTTCAAAATGAATACTTACAATGTTAAAATGTGAAATAATACAAACATGGTTTTGTTTTGTTTTTCAAAGATGGTTTTAAAAAAAATTTTTTTTTTAAATCAATTTATTGGGGCTCATACAATTCATCACAATAAAATTTTAAGGGTTTTTACTTTACTCTTCTTTTGTGCCAGTTTGCAAATGAGGTAAGAGAGAAAGAAAAAAGATGAAAGTTTTAGATTTTGAAATAAAAATATTGATCCTTACCTCTTTTATTGTCAGAAGAATGTGTTTAGGCAAACTTACAAAACCCAGATTTTCAAATTCATCACACACACACACACACACACACACACACACACACACACACCCTTTTCTAAGTCAGGAACTTGCTACCTACAGCACCAAGATTACCCCATATGGTCAACAAGGTCAAACTGCAGTATAGCCAATGAAACTACATGGCTCCACAAGGACCCTAATGATTAAAAAAAAAAAAAAAGTCAGTAATCCAATTCCAATAGCTTCAGAGTCTAAAATTGCTAATTTTTGGCCACGTGCTGCACACTTCACCTGCTAGTAATGACATTTTTGTATTTTCTTCTAATTACACTCAAAGCTGAGACCTTTGGCCCTGGGCACAGACCCCTATTCAGGCTGCACACATTCTCTTAAACGACCTGATCCTTTGTTGTCACTCTTACTCTTTCATCTATTATTTACACCATAGAGAGGGAAGATACTCTACCATTTGTATAGCTTAAAGCTTCTAATCATCTTTATTTCTCTGCCTTTCAACCTATGGTCTTTGCTGTAGGCAAATGCCAAAAAGTTTGACAAAATCATTTTTTCCCACAATGGCATCAACCCTTTGTATTTTTTCTTACTCTCTGGCTAACCTGCTTCCTGTTTCTTGCTTTACATAAAGTAGAGCTTTATATATCAGCTGGGTTTTACAAATTTTGACCTTCACCAACAAAATGAATTTCTAAAACCAGGACAAAACATCCAGATTGTCCTGACAGATCAATAGCAATTATATTTCGTTCATCAAAGAGCCTATTAAATAGAAATTGGAAGTTACTTAAAATAACTTAAAATCTACCCCTAATCAACCTAGGACAGGAGCACAGGCTTTCCAGCATCCCCTGCAAAAGTACCGTAAGGCTCTCAATAAACAGTAAGGATGTTGGTTAAATGGCCAAAACTTTTCACACATTTAGACACTTGCTACAGAAAGAAAGAAAACACAGAAACCTTTAAAAAGATTAGGTTGAAAAAATTTGAATCTTTTAAAACATTTTAAGACCACTACTTCTGCAAATAGCAACAGCCTCATATGAAACAGGCTGTATACAGTTCGATGATGTCCCAACACTTTCTCCAGCCTTCTTGCTTTTTATTTACCCGGTCATATTTAAAAAACCCAAAGTACAGAGATTGTTTACCATGATGCAGATGTCTCCCTCAGTTCACAGAAGCCACCAAAAGATTTTGAGATCCAAGATGTTTATAAAATGACATACACTCCATCTTTGCTCTCTCTTCCTCAGCTTACTCTTGATTTCTAACAGCGTTTTCTTGTTGTCTGTCCCCTCTGCAGACCCCGGAGCCCCTTGTCTTTTCTTATTTTCACCATTTGCTTCAACCAGCAGTTCACTGGAGACCCATCCATCTTGCAATGCCTAAAGTGACAGATGCTCTCAGGAACAACCATACTGCTGAGTGAACAAAAGATAACATCACCTCAAGGAACTCAAGAGAGAAATACAACTGCAACCTTAAGACAGGGGCTAACTTGACAGACATGGGACCATAAACCTCTTCTAAGCGAAAACGAAAACAATTGCCCCACACACAAAAAAATCTGACACAATCAAAGGCAGAAAAGAGTGATTATTTGTGGATTGCCTTTTCACTCTGTAGCTCACTTTCCCCCCTCCCCCAATGCTTTTATATTGGGGCAATTCACTTGACAAGAAGCAAGAGGAGCTCTTGGGGGGCAAAAAACCCTCCAAACCCTAACTCAAGTATTCTTTATTCAGCAATATTCAAAGTGAACGTCACTCCCATGTGTGTTTCAGTAAATCTAAGGCTATGATACAACATTCCTAAGCCTGGCCTTTCTTATTTGCATAAAGCAATATTTCGATTCCGTCAGAAATGCTGATTGAATTGTGCTGAAAATGCTTTTCAAATGAAAAAAAAAGCTGGAAATTTAAAAGCACCATGTGACTCAACACCAACTATATAGCTCATAAAATTATTCACCATTCTTTCATCAGACAACTTCCAACTTGGGTTAGAGACAGTTAACAAGAGGGTTCTGGGAAGGGCTGCAGATCTCCTCTAACAAAGAAAAGGCCATATTAACATCTCTCAGCAACAAACTAATGACAGGGAAGCTGGAGATGCCTCTCACTCTACCTGATGCCATTTAGGACTTTTGTTTTTGTAAAGCATCTAACTTAAAGTCTTCATACAGCAATGGGAAGTAAGTTGGACTTGGAAATTTAGGTATATAATAGTGATGGCTAAATACTGAAGAATATCAAAACAAAAAACAACCAGATCAATTAAGACCATGTGTAATCAATGCCAATTATGGAGATGAGCAACCCATTTTAATAGTAGACATCAAACATCAGAGAAAGATCTCTGTGGTAGCTACATACACTATCATTTTCAAATAGGGTCACTGGCACAACTACTTATGTAAAAAGCCATGTACAGGCATACCTGGTTTAATTGCTTTTAGCTCATTGTGTTTTGCAGATAACTGGTTTTTACAAGTTTTACAAGTTGAAGGCTTTTGTATCCAGCAAATCTACTGGCACCATTTTCCCAACGGTCTGTGTTCACTCTCTCTGTGTCACTTATTAGAATATCTCAAAAAAAAAAAAAAAAAAGAATATCTCACAGTATTCTAAACTTCTCCATAATGCTATTAAGCACATTGATTAGATTACAATATGATATAAATGCAACTTTTATATGCACTGGGAAGTCAAAAATTTTTGTGACTCAATTTATTGTGTTATTTGTTTTATTGCAGTGATCTAGAACCGAACACACAGTATCTCAGTGGTATGCTTGAACTGAAGAGAATTTCCATCAAAGATATTTCTTGAAAAATAAAAATATTTTCATTAAAAATGTTTTTTGCATAAAATAACCTTCATGTTAAGTTACTACTTTTAGTTGGACACCTCTCATATTAATTAAAAAAATATAAATTCTAAGAGATATTTTAGTTCCTGTGTTTGAATGATTTGTTGGATAAAACAAAAATTTTCAACTTAGTCAATCCTAAACATCTCAATGTAGCCTTAATTTCTTCAAGCACATTACAAATAATGTAGTACAAATATTACACAATCCTGGACTCTTCTGTTTAAGACTGACAAAATAGAATGCATGCAAAAAAGTAAATGAAGATTTACAATTACATGTAATTCATTAAATTGAAAATATATATAATTTTAGAATGCTTATCAATATAGCAAGAACTTGTTCTACCATGGAATTGATCTTTAACTAGAAAACTGTCACACACTGACCCTAAGCAACACCACCCCCCCAAAATTTTACCCAGAAGTACATTGTTGAAAACTCCCGAATTCTCTAATATACCCATCGAAAGACGTGACCTTGAAATGCCAGTTCCATTGCAGAAGCTCAGAAAAAGATCCAATTAAATGACCTACTTTTAAACACAATGGGATCGATATGCAAGCAAGGAAAAGGACACCCTTGTGGAAAGTCCTCACTGCCTGATTGATCAAAAACAAAAAAAACCCACACCACTTTTTTTTTTAAAGGACCCCTTCCAGATCACAGTCAGTGCCAGAAATCCACACAGGGGAAAAAATCCATCAAAATGAAACTCTAAAAGGGTTTACTCTTCACCATTCTATTTGCACTTCAAAACCCTGTAAGTCCTTCAGTTAAACCCCAGGGCTGAACTATTTCAATAATAAGAGAGGTGACCCACAGTGATTTATCTCCCATTTGGCCCCTGGATGGAGCTGTAATGTCTACCAAGCTTCCCTTCTCTGATTTGAATCCTCCCCCAAGTCTCAACCTTCATTTGTGCAGCCTTGGATCTGCAATGCCTTATAAACAACTCACATGCCCCTTCCAATCAGATGCCAGAACAATTTGTAACTCCAGATTTGCGTACATTTTCTTGGCAATGATTTCACAAAATGGAATGCTACCGAATAATCAGAGCATTGAAAATACCAAGCTAAATCTCAGGTTCTCTTTGT